GAGAGGATACATGTTTTTAGAGAGGCAGGAGGAAGTGCAGTGGAGAAGAAAGGAGGAATGCGGTGGAGGAATGTGTGAGGAGAGAAGAGAAGGACATAATGTAGGAGAAGAGAGAGGTAGGTTGAGGGAAGGATATGGGGCGATGGGGGAGCAGAGAGAGGTCGGTTGAGGGAAATAATGTGGTGGGCTTAGGGAAGGGGGGAGTAGTGGAGGGGAGGAGAGGTGTGGAATGTGACATGCGGCAGCAATCTGATCTGAAGCTGTCCTCTCCAAAGTACACAGAACACACAGGGCAGGCAGGGGGGACACTAGAAACAGACTAGAACACACAGGGCAGGCAGGGGGGACACTAGAAACAGACTAGAACACACAGGGCAGGCAGGGGGAACACTAGAAACAGATCAGAACACACAGGGCAGGCTGGAGGAACACTAGAAACAGAACAGAACACACCCCACTGGGCACACATTGGTTGAATCAACTTTCCATGTCATTTCAATGAAATTACGTTGGAATAGAGGTTGAATTGAAATCTGTTCCCAGTGGGACAGGGCAGGCAGGGGGAACACTAGAAACAGACACCATAATTACACTACTAAATGCGCACACACACACACACCAACTTACACACAACAACACCTTCTGTTACACATCAAATGCCTCTACTTCTCCAAATCTATAACCCCAACGCAAACACACTCTCATTCTCACTATAATACACTCTATCACTCAAACACACACACACCTTCAAGCATACACTTGCACCCACACACACAGAAAAAAGAAACAAGAGTCTCTCCAGACCAACAGTGTGCATTCTCTCTGGTTTTTATTCATTGGGAAGAATTCTGTCTGGAATTACAAAATGCACTGGTAGAAATAGCGGTGAGATAGGTTGAGAGTGTGAGAGATAAGAGTGAGAGAGACAGAGTAAGAAAGAAATAGAGAGGGAGTGAGTGAGAGATAAAAGACCCCACAGCCAGAGTTTTAAGGGTTACATCATCAGATTTGGCTGGCTCCTGGCCCCACCCAAAAGTAGGCAGGGATATGTGTTTTTACTGGATTCTCATCATTAAAACAGGAGTTCTCTTTTTTTTGGTAGTGTCCTGAACATGGTTGTGTAGTGTCTCACCTCCATGTTTGCAGGTAACAGCTGGCAACATAAAGAAACAAACCAACTTTGATTCTCAACAAAGTCATCACGTCGCTCTTTTGACATGGTCTTTTTTTTATAGATTTTTTAAAACCTTTTTTGTTCTCAAAAATAGAAGGAAAAAGGAACCGTTGCTTAGTAACAACATCTATCTATATTTATATATTTATCTGAATTCATATTCTTCTTTTTTTTTATTCCGGAAGATGACTGTTCACCCACGGTGTGGCATGCACATAGCACATGCAGTTATGGAAGTAGATATTTTCCCTTTTTTTGGTCTTTTTTTGGTACTTAAAATGCTTTTATTTCTCTTTTATTTTTTCCATAGCGGCTCATACATTGCTTTTTGAAGTAACGGTGGGGTTATTTAGCATATGTGTTGTTAGTGGATGGTTGGTCAGTATAGGACACAATGATTGACAGTGAATGTTAGGGCCTCTCATAGTTTCATTTGGAGGGTGATTGACATCTTATCTCATCTTGCACACAGCCACACAAACATTATGTCACTTGCTCACAAACACAGGCTAACTCACACACACACACAAACAGTCGCCAACTCAGATGTCATCACTGTGCTTTGACAAAATATTCAAAGCAAATAAACAAATTAAATGAAATATCTAACGAAAACAGCCTGCTATTGATGTACACACACATTGAACATACACACACATTCTTGCTATAAAAGAACGCACGCCATACGCACACACACACACTCGCTACAGCCAGGAGCTACATGCTGAGAGTGTATCTTTGTATTTCTATCTTATCTGTGTTGTGATTTGACTTATACACGTCTATGACATTCCTACATTAGATGAACACTGTAAAGGCAATGTGCCTGTGCACTTTCTGGTCAAAGTGTGGTACATAGAATCATGGGATATGTCGTTACAGTACATCAGAATACAGATATGTGCAGATCTAACTGCGCTATATCTATGGCAGCAGTGAACAAACACTGTTACCTGACGTGAATGGTTTTGACATGGGGTGTAATAATAATAATAATAATAATAATAATAATAATAATAATAATAATAATAATTATTATTATTATTATTATTATAATGACATAATTATAATAAATGAATGGTTCACTATGGCAATCCTTAACGTCCAGCAACTGTGAGAGAGAGACTGTATGGACAGCGGTGGGTATTAGGGTGGATGTTAGGTTGAGGCGCACAAAGACACACAAAAAAGAGAATAGGGCGACACAGGACACAGAGGTTTGGCAGAAAAGACCCAGTCATTGTTTCTCCCATGCATTTTCATTGGCTGTGATACATGTCCTGTGCATTTTTGATTGGCAGTGTTACATGTCCTGAACACAAAGGAGGTGCTCCACCAGTGACAGACAACACTTAAACATTATACTCCCAGTTACAGACAGATATGAAAACATTGGAATCAGACAGTCAAAAGAGAAGGGGTGATACAATGATGCAATAGGACAGGGCTGTAATGTATTGCATACAGTGCCACCTAGAGGGCCAAACTGGTAGAGGAGCTCTGTCTCTTATTACTGCTTAATTTGGGCTGCTTTAGTCTGTAGACCCTGTTACCTTAGCAAGAGCGACCATTTAGCTGCCCTATATTTACCCAAATGCTTAACATATGTAAACAACTGTCCGATGAACAAGTATACAGGTCAGATACATGATTTCCTGTATGACTTTTGACATTAGAAGGCTGTCAACTATGCCTATTTTTTAAAGTTCCTTTCCCCTTCCCCACCTTATTACACTGTATCAGAGTCATTACTATGATTACTCCTGTTCCCACAATGCACCTCTCCGACAAAGCTCCGCCCACCAGCCGAACCAGTGGACCTCCAGCCGGACAGAACGTCTCACTAGACAAAGATGGTGACGCGCCGAGCACAACCGATTCGAAAGTAAACAAACAAATACAAACTAAAATAATTATCTCTCACAAGCATGAACATCGTCGTCATCATCATCATTATCATCATCATCATCATAATTATCATCATCATCATAATTATCATCATCGTCATTATAACAATCATATTCATCATTATTGTTAGTATTGTTATCAGTATATATAGAACCATTATCACTATTCATAACAAATAAACGAAAGATGAAGAGGGTCCCTCCTTTCATCTGCCTCTCTCTCTCTCTCTCTCTCTCTCTCTCTCTCTCTCTCTCTCTCTCTCTCTCTCTCTCTCCTCTCTCTCTCTCTCTCTCTCTCTCTCTCTCTCTCTCTCTCTCTCTCTCTCTCTCTCTCTCTTTATCGCTATTTCAAACACTAACACTGGAAGACTAGAGACATATCTCTGGTTTGAATGAGGCTATGTGTCAGCTGATGAAGAGCCTATAAGGATCATGGAGCATGCTTGTAACTTCCTCCCCCAATTTCAACTCCCTGTTAATATGAACCCAGAATATGTGGGTTCTGCGTTTTCTTACTTTCCTGCCTTCTTTCCTTCCATGAAATAAAAGTAGGCCTAGTAACAAAATATCTACTTCCTTGAAAATGATTGTGCAATCTCAGCCACATCAACAGTTATAATTTGGCACAGAGCATTTCAATAAGAACAAAGTGGGAAATAGATAATCCTGTCCCTCCACATAAAAAAGTATTGGACCTTCTTCTTCTCTTCCTCATCGCCACATCTCTCCATCCATCCTAACTATCCTGATTATACCTCCAGCACAGGAAGAGAGAGAGAGAGGGACACCTCAGGGAGAAGAGAGAGAGAAGCAAAGGCATTACAGGAAAAGGAGAGAACCCCACAGACTAATATAGAACGGACCAAGGAATAGTTTCCCCCCACATTACACTAGTTTCTCTTTGTTATCAGTATTTTTTGTATCCATCATGCAGTATTCCACAGGTTTTTAAACTCTGCAAGTTCCAACGAAGCTGAGCGGGTGCAACAGAAGAATCAAGCTTCAATGTTTCGAAGAAGAAGAGGAAGAGGAAAAAGAAGAAGAAGAAGAAGAAGCGGAAGGGGAAGCAGCCGCAGGAGTAGAAGAAGAAATACTGAAGAAAATGTTTGTTTTTTAGTATCATCCACTTTTTACTGTTTCTTCTCTACTGGGTTGGGGCGGAATCTTTTGTTTGGGTTGGGGGGTTGTAATGGATAGATTCCTCCTACATAACCCCCTCTCTCCTTCAGAGTTAGGGTGTCCCCCCGTGTCCCCCACACACAGGTGGAAGGCTTATCGTCACTGATGTCATTATTAACAGTAAACACAGATGATAAAACTCATCAATATCTTCCCGTCATCAGGGTTGGTGGTTGGTTTTTGCAACTAACACAACCCCACTTAGTTCTGAAAAGCAAAAAACGTGGTCGTTCTCCGCAATGTCAACGTTTTTTGCGTTGATTATGTGATGACGTCTTGGTCGTTGTGGCGGTTTTTAATTTTGTTTCCAGTAGCATCCAGTAGCATCAACACCCCCCCCCCCACCCCCCATCACCCATTTTGAAAAACGACATTTTGAATTTCTGTCTCCTTGCATCTGGTGAGCTGGGCTCCATTGTTTTTGGAGGAGGAATTGGTTTGTCCTCCATACCCTGTTCACTAATTTCCACTCCTCCTTCAGTGGTCCTCCTCCTCATCCCTCTATCCCAACTACCCCTTTCTCACTCCCTCCATCCCCGGGAAACACTGAGCAGCAGAGGAAACAAAAATAAAAACAAACAGAAAGAAGGAAAGAAAGAAAGAATCATGCCTTGGTTTCCCCTGTATCATGGCGGTCAGTGCTCTGGCTGTGTGTTTTCCTGGGCTGGGAGGTAGGGACTGATAACTCAGACAGTGTGGTTGAGCCCTCCCTCCATCCATCCCTCCATGGTCCCCAGAGGCTAGCATCTGTTGTCATTCGTGTTGTTGTAGGGTTCGTGCAGGCCTTTCGTGCGGGGCCCTCTGGGCTGGGGAGGGGGGACCTTGTGGGGCCCGGGGTGGGTGGGGCCGTGGTGGTGTTGCGAGGAGGGGGAGGAGGCGCGGTACCCGTTGGGGAGGCGTCGAGGGGGAGGAGGCTGCTGCCCTTGGGGGATGGGGGTGGTGTTGGGTGGGGGTGCGTGGTGGGAAGTCCTGGGCGAGGTGCGGGAGTGGGGGTTGTTGGGGTGGGGGTTGTTGGGGTGCGGGTTGATAGGGTGCTGCTGTGGGGTTGAGGGATGGTTTTGTGGGGGCAGAGTGGGGTGGTTGAGGGGGTGAGGGTTGTGAGGGTTGCCCTGCGTGGGGCTCTGCTCGTAGGCAGGCGGTTCGTGGTGCTCACGGTCGTAATCCTGGTAGTCCTGGTTGTAGAAGCAGCCGTCGCCCTCCAGCGACCCACTCTCTCCTCCTCCTCCTCCATCCCCCCAGCGGGGAGGGGGGTGGCGGGCCTGGCGGGGTGAGCCATGGTGTGGCGGGGGAGGTCCCTGGGGGGGCTCGGGGGAAAAGCGGTTAGGGTGCGGGGGGGCAGGATTGCGCCCCTGGGGCTGGGCTCCGGGAGGTGTGGCCATGGCTTTACGGACAACGGGAGAGTATGTGACATGTGGGCGGGGCGTTGCCGGGGTCTGGGGGAGTTGCCGACGGCCTCGTCTCGGGGTACTGGTCCCCGAGGTGGAGGGGGCGGGACTTTCGCTCACCGAACTACTGCCCTACACAAACATTGAAGGCAAATAAAAAAAGAACCACAAAATTAACGACGACACGAACAGAGAGAGAGGGAGAAGAGATAGAGGGAGGGAGGGGGAAGAGAGAGAGTAGTGAGGGTGATTTGGAGAGAGCTGGTAGGCAGATGAGGGGGATGGGCAAAAAGGGAGAGTGAAGAAGAGAGAAAGAGATAAAGACAAGAAGAGATAGATCAAGAGAGAGGGAGAGAGAGAACAACAGACAATAACAACAAGAACAACAACAGCAACGAGCAAACGAAGAGAAGAAGAAGAAGAAGAAGAAGAAGAAGAAGAAGAAGAAGAAGAAAAAGAAGAAGAAGAAGAGAGCAATCAGGAGCGTGTGAGGGGAAGGAAGGATGGCGGAAAAGAAAGACATAAAAAAGCAACAAAGAAAGAGAAGAGACATATAGAAAATGATGGGAGTCAGCATACACCGTAGGAAACAGAGAAAGCGATGAGTCACAAAGAATAAAGAGAGGACACAAAAACAACAGGAGAAAAGAAAAGAAGAGATCAGATCTGACACAGTAGGCATCAAAACGGTGATTGTGAAGGTACCCACAATGCACTCTTTCAGTGTTGTTGCCTTGTTCAGCACACATGTCTGTCTCTTATCTGAATCTAGGTTGTTAACCCATCACCTCTGTGTGTAAGTGTGTGTCTAAACTGCTGAATCCTATAAACAAACTTCTGATCTTTCAAAGTTTTGTTAGTTCATGAATAGACAATGTATGGAAGTGTCAAAAAGGGAAACATAAGAGACAGTCAGCCGCCTAAAGGTATTTAGGCCAAGGAGATGGGGGAGACACTCAAGGCAGAACTCAAAGGAGAACCTGAGGCTAAAATAGTTAGGAAGGTGGTTCAATGTTGACACGCATCATAGAAGCCCACCTGTCTGTGTGTCATGCACTCTCTGCCCTCGCTGGGTGACCGTGACCATCGACGGTCATGCTCCCTGTCCCGATCGTGGTCTCTGTCTCCTCGGGGCTGTCTGTGACCACCGTGCTCTCCCCCCCGGTCGGCGCGGTCTGGTGTGTAGCGCTCCTTGTCCACAGAGCCGCTGTGATGGTGGTGGTGATGGTGGTGGTGTTTGCGGTCTTTCTGCCGACCGCGGTCTCTGTCGCGGTCACGGTCCTTCTCCTTGGGTGGCAGGTCACCTGACTGAGTGGTGGTGCTCAGGTCTGTGCCCAGTCCTGCCGGGACGGAGGCCAGTTAGTGTTGTCGTCATGGTATCACTAGTGTCTTTGTAACCATGACATCATGACAACATAAAACACACTATGACACAGCAGCAACTCAGGGAACAAAGCATGTTCTCCTCACACACTCTATGACTCACACACATTCTGAACCCTTCCCGACCAACGCACGCACGCACGCGCACACACACGCACACACACGCACACAAGCATACACCCACACACGCACACACACACACACACACACACACACACACACACACACACACACACACACACACACACACACACACACACACACACACACACACACACACACGCACACACACGCACACAAGCATACACCCACACACGCACACACACATACACACACACACACACACACACACACACACACACACACACACACACACACACATTCTGTCTCTGACCTGTATCTGCGTCTGTATATCGACACAGTGACCGCTCTGAGGCCCGGTGGCTTCGGTCACGGCGTCGGTGGCTGTGCCTCGGTGTTCCGCCCTCCTCAGGGATGACACGATCCATTGCATAATCATTGGCCCCTCCCCTTTCCCTCTGGCCCCTCCCAGATCGACTGTGACCAAGGGAGGAGGCCGAGCGCTTCATAGGACTATTATCTGTTATAGTCTGATAGAGGGGGATGGAGAGAGAGAGAGAGAGAGAGAGGGATAGGGATAGGGATGATGGGAGAGTGAGACAGAGAGAAAAAGAGTAGTAACACAGCAGGCTTCTTGGGTTTACTTTCCTCGCGTCTCCATTCTATAGTCTTCAGAACAGATATAATGGGGAAACGGAGGGATGTAGACTTTCTTGTCGACTTGTTAGTGTGTGTGTGTGTGTGTTTGTATGTGTATATACATTGTATAGTTGTTTACCTGACTTTTACTTGTGTGTGCTTGTGTGTGTTTCTACATTCCTACCATATACAGTATAACCTTGTAGAGGTGGGCACCATACTGTTCCCCACACATCCCTGTATTAGTATCATATATACATCATGCTGCCTCAGGCAGAGAGCGAGAGAAAGAGACTGAGAGAGAGAGAGAGAGAGGGAGAAAGAGAAAGAGAGAGAGAAAGAGAGAGAGAGCGAGAAAGACAAAGAGAGAGAGAGCGAGAAAGAGAGAGAGAGCGAGAAAGACAGAGAGAAGAGAGAGAGAGGTATAAAGAGAATAAGAGAGAGAGATAATAGAGGAGAAGATATAAGATAGAAGAACGAGAGAAAGAGAGAGAGAGAAAGAGAGAGAAAGAGAGAGAGAGAGAGAGAGAGAGAAAGAGAAAGAGAGAGAAAGAGAAAAAAAGAGAGAGAAGAGGAAGAAGACAAACAACAGTAAAAGTAAGAAGAAAGGGAGATAAGAGGGAGGTAAAAGGCCATGCCTGACATGCATCCAGGACTTTATCTGGAAAGATAGGTCAGTATCTCCTCATCCCCCCAAAAGACTAACCCACCCCATACCCTCCCAATCCCTCCCCCAAAATCATAACACAATCCAGGCTGCGCACAAGGCTCTGCCAGCCCCCTTTGTGTCAGCGTGCCTCCCTTCAGCCATGCAGGCACATAGGAGCTGTCCCGAGTCCTCCGCCCCTCTCAGGAGCTCTCTTTCTGGGGCACGGGGAGCCGCTCTGGCCCCCTAGGGCTGCTGGACACCAGGACAGTGCCTACAATGTACACACCTGCATAGTGCATACTGTACATACCAGGCCTGGTACACACCTGCATAGTGCATACTGTACATACCAGGCCTGCTCAGTACTAGTCCGCCATGGCAGCAGTGTCTGCTGGTTTCTGATTCTTTATTGAACAAAGGGAACATTTGGCTGTAGAGATAACTCCCCTAGCATTCCAGGTTGAAACCAGAATAGATGATAATGGACTGAAACCAGCAGACAGTGTGTAGCTAGGATACCCTCACACACACAAACACACATGGACACACACACCAAGTACACACCAAGCACACACAACAAACACACTCACCAAGCATACACACACACGCATGCACGCACACAATCACTCCAGCAAGTGCACACATATTCCTGGCATGCATGCAACACCAACACCAATACAGCAGCACATTGATGACATCAGCACAGACAAGAACACAGGCATGATACACACAACACACATGGTACACACACAGAGCAGCAGCTGCAGGAAGAGAGAGAGACAGAGAGAGGGTGCAGAGTCTGCCAATCCCAAATCAACACCTAGACCCCACCCCCTTGGCACTTGCCTGGTGAATGTGATTATGCGAGGTCAGGATGTTGGAACAGGGCTAATTTACACTTACCTCTCCAATCCTTGTGCCAAGGTGTAAGTAATATGGCAAAAATCCATCTAGCCTATCAGAGGGCAAGGTGGAGCTATTACCATATTGCTTATATTTTGCATATACACTGAGTATACAAAACGGTTCTTTCCATAACATAGACTGACCAAGTGAAAGCTATGATCCCTTACTGATGTCACTTGTTAAATCCACATCAATCAGTGTAGATGAAGGGGAGGAGACAGGTTAAAAGATTTTTAAGCCTTGAAACAATTGAGACAAGTATTGTGTATGTGTGCCATTCAGATGGTGAATGGGCAAGACAAAAGATGTAAGTGCCTTTGAACGGGGTATGGTAGTAGGTGCCAGGTGCACCAGTTTGGGTCAAGAACTGTGGGGTGCAAAAAGGGGGGTGCAACTCAATATTAGGAAGGTGTTCCCAGTGCCGACCCGTCATTCAGAGCAGGTGGGGCAGAGCCTGCTATTCAGTGGAGAGGGTGTGTGGTCCAAGTCTGGGTTTAAGGGTCTCTTTTCCAAGTTTAAAGGAAAACATTCTCACGTAACCCCATGGGCCAGAAAAGGTTGAATACATTGGCCATGCTGTCAATCCAGCATGATTTCTGCCATGTTCAAAACAACTGGAAACTCGGAACTCAGAAATCTCAGACTTCAGTGAGTTCAAGACAACTGGGAAAATACGTTTTGAAGGGTCATCCAACTCAGAATTCCAAGTCGGGAATTCGGGCCTCTTTCTAGAGCTCCAACCTGAAGATCATTGACGTCATGATTCGGCCTTGTTTTTGCCAAGTTCCCAGTTGTCTTGAAAGCACCATAAATCCAGAGAATGACAGACTTTGATGACAAAGTTTCATGACCAAATTTGCCCACAAGAAGGACAGCCGCGCCACCTTCCTGTTCAAGTGAGCACAGCACAACGGTAAGTCCAAAAATGTGTTGTATGCTGCTGCATAAATTATGTAATATGCCAGGGAGATATGTATACTGTAGCTAAGAAAGTAATACTAAGTGTATGTTGTGTAGTAAGCTGTTAGTAGCCCATGTGCCTCACCCTAATAATTTGGTCCCTTTCCCCCCCATAACAGCCTACTGTTTTGACTTGGTGGTGCACATGTAGCCTATAGCCTGTTTTAGAGAAATGTCATAATTGAATATTGGAAGAGCTTTCATTGTCTGCTTATATGCCCACTTTATTTTTCCTACGGTTCTGACTTGGTGTACAGGGAGAATACTGTAAGAACGGCCCATGTTCTGAATTCTGTCGCTGTACATTTCAAAAGTGCTGAACAAATAGTTATATTGACTACGTCCGTCTTAGCTCGCTCATTAATGTCTTAATCGAGTTTACGGATTGCCTCTTATCCGCTCATCGTTCCCTTATGACATAGTTTGTACCTCTCAATTGTCAATATAAACCACATTTGTTTAAGCAAGTCAGCCATATCAGTTATGCTTTTTAAAAAGGCAGTAAATGAGGCTGAATTAACTGTTTCGCTGCCAGACAAGGCTCCACTGATAGCCAGGTGTAGCAGGGGTAAGGATTCACTCCATGTTGCTGAAAAGAAAGCTCTGCTGTTGGGACAGCTTTATGTAGGCCCTAACAGTTTGTGGGCACCCTTTGTCACCGTTATAGTGCAATTAATGTATTGTTTAGTGTTGCGTTGTATTGTGTAGTGGCTTTGCTGGCATGCATAAAACGATAAATTTTTTTGTTTGCTCCACCAAGATTTCCACGCTAAAATCACCACTGGGTGTTCCTAATGTTTGGTATACTCAGTGTACATACAGTAACCAATCTTTTCAGATCAGATCTACATTAGAGGATAGGGGTCAATTTGGGTTTTAGCATTTGAGTAATCATGCCATAAAAGCACATTTGATTCGAACTGAATTGAAATCGGTTAGTGGAAGAATCAGAGCTTGAAGCTCCTACCCTGGGATCAGTCAGTCTTATGTGTCAACAGACACGGTAGTCAAAGACAAATAGGAGGGGAAGAGTACCAGCTATTGTTTGAGAGAAAAGAGAGAAATGAGAGGAAAGACACAGAAGATACACATAAATGGAAAAACTCAGAGAGAGGACAGAGAGAGAGAGGTGAAGGAGAGGGGGACATATTCAGATTCAGTCAAAATGACTCATTTTATCTAGCCAAGTCAACTCAATTTGTTGAGTAGACACATTTTGTTTACATATCAAATCAAGTTGAGTTAGCAAAGAACAATGTGTTCACTCAATTTTCAAATCAGAACCAAGAAGACAAATCAACTAAAGCAACCTAACAGTTGTGTTGACAAAAAATGTCATGTTAAGATAACTACCACTTATACATTGTCTTAACTTATAAAATCAAGTTGAATCAGCTAAGCAATTGTGTGTACTCAACTTAGAAATTAACAACCATGAAGTCAAATCAACTGAAGCAACATAACAGCTGTGTTGACAAAAAAAGTTAAGATAACTACACTGAATCAAATTGTCTGAACTTATGAAATCCAATTGAATCAGCTAAGAACTATGTGTTTAACTGACTTAGAAATTCACAACCATGTTAGGAGATGACATGAAGAGAGAGAGGCAGAGATGGAGACAGATAGAGAAAGAGAAAAATGGTCATCGTGAGTGAGTGAATGAGTGAGTGAGAGAGAGAGAGAGAGAGAGAAAGGGGGAGAGATGGGGGAGACAGGGTACATACACTGAGGTTATTTCCACGCTGCCTCCCTTTCCTTCGCTGCTGTGTGAGCACAGAGAAGACACACACACACACACACCACAGCCACGGATACAGCACAGGTAGAGCACACACAGACCACCGCGCAGACACACGGACAGGGAAGGAGAGAGAGATGAATACGCAAATAAAGAGTGAAGGGAGAGGTGAAGAAGGTAAGGGGAGGGCGTGAAAACCCGATAACAGGGGGAGGCGTGGGCAGAGAGAGAGGGAGAAATGGAGAGGGGGATAAATGTGGGTGGGGATAACCCGAAAAGAAAGGGAGGTGAGAGGGAGGAGAGGAGAGGAGAGAGAGAGAACCCGGTTAGACACAAAAGCAGCGGTGAGGGGAAAAACAACACTTACCACAGTAGCGCACAGACACTGGAGGGCCAGAGACAGTGTTATAGACAGGGTCACCATGGCAACAACACTACCATCTACACCACAGTCACCATAGCAACAACACCCATCAACACCTTAACACATCACGCTACTACGGCAAAAACAACAGTACAGTGAAGTACAGTGTAAAGGCACAACTCACGACACACGAGAGTACGAAAGAAGACTGGACGACACACGCATACACACACACACATGCACACCGACAAACACACACTCTCTCAGAACATCAGGACACAGTCACACATCCACACATAGCAGCAGCACACTTAATCATATCAGAGCAAAAGCACTGTTTCAACCTGGTGACAGTTTTTGTTTCAAGATAGTAGTATTCTATTTAATATATATTTTTTAGTTTGAGCATGATAGTACACTACTAGACCACTTGAACAACACCTTCACAAATAAATATTGACCCAAAATGACACAGTTGGGCATGATTTCAAATTCAAACCTGGTTGAAACAAAACCCCACATTTCAAGTCACCTTTGTAGCAAAACCATTAGAGAAGAGGGAAAGAAAGATTGATTTAGATGGAAGATAAGAACTGAGGCCAGAGAGAGAAAGAGAAAGAAAGAAGATCTTGGGCTTGACAGCAGTGATAGTTATGAGGGCAGAACAATGTGCATGTGTGCTGGTGTGTGTGTGTTTATGTGTGTGTGTGTGTGTGTATGTGTGTACGTGTGTGTGTGTGTGTGTTTGTGTTTGTGTAGCAGCTGAAGAAGGCACAGAGTGCTCTACGACATCTACAAAATGAGTGGTGGATCTCCAAAGCACAAGAAATCCAATCTTGTGTGGACAGATATGACATGCACAACTTTTATGATGCCCTGAAGACCACCCACGGCCCAAGAAGTTGCTTTCTCTGTCCCCTCAGAAGTGCAGATGGGTCCACTCTCATAAAGGACCAAACTACGATAGTCCAGAGGTGAAGCCCTCTTAAACCAGCCGAGCCCAGTTGACTACTCAGTCCTGGAGGAGCTCCCAACCATGCCCACCATCCAGAGCCTTGATCTTCCACCCACCTTTTCTGAAGAATAACAAAACTCCTTGACCTGACTCCATCCCTGCTGAAATCCTAAAACAGGGGGGCTATCTCTGTACCAGAGCAGTTTGCCTGTTCATCTCTGAGATATGGAGACAAGAGAGCATCCCCCATCAATGGAGGGATGCAAACATTGTCACCATATACAAAAACAAGGGGGACAAATCCATCTGCGGCAACAGCAGGGGAATATCACTCCTTCCAGTTGCTGTCAAAGTCCTGGCGAAGGTCATGCACCACAGACTCATCGACACCATCACTGAAGATCTGCTACCGGAGTCCCAGTGCGGATTCAGAAAGAACAGAAGCATGGAGGACATGAGCTTCAGTGCACACCGACTGCAGGAAAAGTGCAGTGAACAGACACAAGACCTGTACATGGCCTTTCTGGATCTCTCCAAAGCCTTTGACACAGTACACCGTGAACTCCTTTGGATGGTCCTCCTGCAGTATGGCTGCACTGGGAAATTTGTGAACGTCCTGCGTCAGTTCCATGAGGGGATGGTGGCCAGAGTAAGAATAGGCGGTCAGGAGTCTGAACCCTTTTGGAGTTGGTACTTGTGTGAGGCAAGGGTGTGTGCTTGCGCCGGTCCTATTCAATGTTTTCCTTCTATGTGTCACAACAGTCCTGCACAAGGACATGGAAACAGAGAGTGGTGTGACCCTGGACTTCAGATTGGACGGGAACTTCTCCAACATTAGGAAGCTCCAAGCTGCCATAAAGCTCAAATCTTAACATGTACTTGAGCTCTAGTACGCGCATGATTGCACTCTTGTGGCACATACCCCAGAAGCTCTACAAGCCACGCTCACAGCAGCTGTGAGAACATACAGCATAATGGGGCTGTCTGTTAACATCCCAAAAACAGAGGTCCTATGTCAGTGGTCATCTGATCCTCCGCCTGAAACACCTGCATTCTCCATCTCAGACTTGCCATTGTATCACATTTTAAATATCTTGGAAGCATCCCCTCGACCAGGATATCCAGAATCTGGTCAAACAGACGGCTAAGGAAGAGGGTTTTTAACAGCAACCTGCACCTCCACACCAAAGTTGCAGTCTACCAGGCAGTGTGTGTATCTACCATCCTTTATGGATGTGAAACATGTACAGTCTACAGCCAACACTTAAAACAACTGGAGTCCTTTCACATACAATGCCTTCAACACACGTTGAAAGTGACCTGGCAGGACCGTGTTCCGCACTCAGAGATCCTACAGAGAACCAATTGCATGAGCATTGAGGCGTCCATCACACACCACCAGCTTAGATGGCTCGGCCATGTCATCCGGATGCCAGAGGATAGCCTACCACAAAAGATGCTGTACGGACAGCTACAACTGGGCTGTCGCTCTGCAGGTGGGCAGAAAAAGTGGCTAAAGGACTAACTGAAGACATCACTAAAGAAGTGTGGGATAAACCCTGCCTCCCTCCAGACTGTTGCTGTGGACTGTTCCACCTGGCATGGCCTCTGTCATCAAGGAGTGCAGTTGGACTGAACGTAGACCATGCCTGCACTGGCTTCAACGGGACAGGCCTTTGTGTGCTCTGTCTGTGGCAGACAGTCTGTATCCCGCATCGGATTATACAGTCATCAGCGAACCCACAAGCAGTAGTGGAAGTCATCATCGGATATGATGGACTACCTTAAGCAAAGTGTGTGTGACAGCATAGCAGAGACGACTTGGTATTGGATGAGAAGGGACAACCACAGTAACACACCTCCATGCAGTAGGGGATGAGTGGAGAGGAGGAGGAGAGGAGAGGAGGAGGAGAGGAAGAGAGGAGTGTTGGGGTGTTTGGTATGGTAGTCTATAAGACTTACCTGTAAGTCTTTCTGGCAAACATCCTATGGGCGATATTTCAACAGCATAGAAAGGGTAGCTACCGTCAAAATGCATGATATCACTTCAAATACCATGCATTTATAAAAAACTAAATGCTTGAAAGTATCACAATGTGTGTCCATTTTCAGCAATGTTTTATAGTATTTCAGTGTAACTTGTTTAATTGTGATGCACTGTGTTGGATTATAAATAGTCTGTCTCTAGTCTCTGTGTGTCTCTAGTCATGTAGCTTATCGTGGAGATTGAGTCAAGGAGATGGAAAGATAGAGGGAGCGAGAGAGGGAGGGAAGGAGGAGAGGAAATGAGGGGTGCTCACTTGGTTGTCGCCTGGAAGGCGTGGCATGGAAGCGGCCCTTCCGTGGCCTTCCATTGGATGAAAGTGCTCGGTATCCGAGTAACCGTCACGCCCCATCTCTCTCATCTCTACCGTCTGCAAAATAGAGTGAGAGCAGGCGTGACTGTGATGAAGGAATACGACGGGGGACAATGGTCTGTTTGTCATCCTTTATCCTATGTGAGTGTGGGCGAGTGTAGTGTGTACAGCAAAGGAGGTTGGCGGGACCTTAATTGGCGAGGACAGGCTCGTGTTAATGGTTGGAGCGGAATTAATGGAGCGTATCAAATACATAAAACACATGTTTACCATGTGTTTGATGACATTCCATTTGCTCTGTTCCAGCAATTATTATGAGCCGTCCTCCCCTCAGCAGCCTCCTGTGGTGTACAGTAGCGTGTAGTGTAGTGTGGGGGGACTGGGGTTTGGGCCTGGGAAATGGGGACGGGTAAGGTTTAAGACTAGGTTTAGATCTAGAGCGAGGGGCTAGGGCTGTGGTCTAGGAGCTAGAGCTTGGACCTGGACTTGGATCAAAAGCGGGAACTGCTGATGCTGAGGCTGAGGCAGGGGGCTTCGGTGCAGAGGACTTGGGGATAGAGGGCTTGGGGGCTGAGGGTTTGGGGGCTGAGGGCCTGGTCCGTGCTATCCGGTATCCTTGGGACATCCCTACCCCATTGAAGTTGAAATGTAACCTCTAAAAGTCTAAGATAACATATGGAATCATTTTAAGATGGTCATACCATGGATCGTTTAGATATTTGATTTAGGTTGTTTTGAACCCCTTTAGGTACATACAAAATTGATAAAATATAGAATTTGCCCTTTACTACTATAGCCTATAGAAACACATTAAATAACACATTCATAAATGTCAAAACAGACAGTCAAAAAATAAATCATAAGGACTAAGGTTTTGAAGTGTCTGTAAAGGGTGGCTATTTGAAGAATCTCAAATATATTTTGATTTGTTTAACACTTTTTTGGTTACTACATGATTCCATATGTGTTATTTCATAGTTATGATGTCTTCACTATTATTCTACAATGTAAAAAATACTAAAAATAAAGAAAAACTCTTGAATGAGTAGGTGCGTCCAAACTTTTGACTGGTACTGTATATATATATAGTTACCCAAAAATATATGGGCGATTGGAAATGATGCAGACAATTACACTGATGGAAGCTACAAATCTATCTGCAATATTAAAGCTGATCTCCCCCTAAAAATAAAAAATAAAAAAAATAAAAATAAAAAAACAGTTATTGTGCTGACGTTGCTTCCAGAAGCAGTTTGGAACTCATTGCAACCGAGGACAGACCAGTTTTACGCGCAAAGCGCTTCAGCACACGGCGGTCCCGTTCTGTGAGCTTGTGTGGCATACCACTTCGCGGCTGAGCCATTGTTGATCCTAGACATTTTCACTTCACAATTACATCACTTACAGTTGACTGGGGCAGCTATAGCAGGGTAGAAATTTGACGAACTGACTTGTTGGAAAGGTGGCATCTTATGACGGTGCCACGTTGAAAGTCACTGAGCTCTTCAGTAAGGCCATTCTACTGCCAATGATTGGCTATGGAGATTGCATGGCTGTTTGTTTGATTTTTTACACCTGTCAGCAATGGGTTTGGCTGAAATAGCCGAATCCACTAATTTGAAGAGGTGTCCACATACTTTTGTATATATAGCATACTTCCATATTTCGATTCCTTTTTTAACCCGGTACAGGGTTACTTTCAGACGAGTCCCGTGACACTTGTGGGTGTCGTAGAGCAAAACGGAGAAAACCATCGTTTGGATGCTACAGACGTTTTCGTGAGGAGACCGATTTTCGGGATGTCTCCTGGTCTGACAAACAGTGCTGTAGTTCTGCCACTTTCCACAGCAGATGCGGAATGCCGACATAGCCATATGTGGTGGATTGAGACGCAGCCGATACAAAAAAACAGACTGATTAAACAGACTGATTTTGATTTTGATTGTAAAATGTTATTTAGGGCTTGGGGGATGAGGGCTTGGGGGCTGAGGGCTTGGGGGATGAGGGCTTAGATGCTGAGGGCCTGGGGGCTGAGGGCTTGGGGATAGAGGGGTATGGGATGTGAATGGTGGGAGGGTTTAAGGCAGGCATAGCCAATCAGGGCAGGTTATAGGGAAACCAACATGTTCACATTTTCCCAATAACTATCTCTAACTCCTGCCATTAGATGCCATTAGATGAATGTGCTGTATTGCTTACACCTTTCAGATCTGTTTAAGTGCCTATGGGGGGGAGGAGCTATAGGGACCATATGGAATTGGACAACAGGCAGGAATAAAACAGAGCCAATGGTGACTCTGTTTACGAGTTGATTCAACAATGGATTCCCTAAATATCCTGTAAGTCAAGAGCACCAGGACACTAGATCTACAGTGGGGAAAAAAAGTATTTAGTCAGCCACCAATTGTGCATGTTCTCACACTTAAAAAGATGAGAGAGGCCTGTAATTTTCATCATAGGTACACGTCAACTATGACAGACAAAATGAGAATCTCCCTCAATCTGGGGCTCCACGCAAGATCTCACCCCGTGGGGTCAAAATGATCACAAGAACGGTGAGCAAAAATCCCAGAACCACACGGGGGGACCTAGTGAATGACCTGCAGAGAGCTGGGACCAAAGTAACAAAGCCTACCATCAGTAACACACTACGCCGCCAGGGACTCAAATCCTGCAGTGCCAGACGTGTCCCCCTGCTTAAGCCAGTACATGTCCAGGCCCGTCTGAAGTTTGCTAGAGTGCATTTGGATGATCCAGAAGAGGATTGGGAGAATGTCATATGGTCAGATGAAACCAAAATAGAACTTTTTGGTAAAAACTCAACTCGTCGTGTTTGGAGGACAAAGAATGCTGAGTTGCATCCAAAGAACACCATACCTACTGTGAAGCATGGGGGTGGAAACATCATGCTTTGGGGCTGTTTTTCTGCAAAGGGACCAGGACGACTGATCCGAGTGAATGGGGCCATGTATCGTGAGATTTTGAGTGAAAACCTCCTTCCATCAGCAAGGGCATTGAAGATGAAACGTGGCTGGGTCTTTCAGCATGACAATGATCCCAAACACACCACCCGGGCAACGAAGGAGTGGCTTCGTAAGAAGCATTTCAAGGTCCTGGAGTGGCCTAGCCAGTCTCCAGATCTCAACCCCATAGAAAATCTTTGGAGGGAGTTGAAAGTCCGTGTTGCCCAGCGACAGCCCCAAAACATCACTGCTCTAGAGGAGATCTGCATGGAGGAATGGGCCAAAATACCAGCAACAGTGTGTGAAAACCTTGTGAAGACTTACAGAAAACGTTTGACCTGTGTCGTTGCCAACAAAGGGTATATAACAAAGTATTGAGAAACTTTTGTTATTGACCAAATACTTATTTTCCTCCATAATTTGCAAATGAATTCATTAAAAATCCTACAATGTGATTTTCTGGAGAAAAAAATCTCATTTTGTCTGTCATAGTTGACGTGTACCTATGATAAAAATTACAGGCCTCTCTCCTCTTTTTAAGTGGGAGAACTTGCACAATTGGTGGCTGACTAAATACTTTTTTTCCCCACTGTATATGAACCAGTCCAATGCAAATATGTGGATGTTCAGACTAACAACATGAAACATGAATAACATGAAAGAAAATCATTATTTCATGTTTACTTGGAACCATTTCTTAGTGTGTTCTCGTGTGCAATGACATACTGTACATATGGCATGCATGTACTGTATTGATCTCTATTTGTGCGTATGTGTGTGCGAGTATATACCCTTATGAGTTATGTCTGTTGTCCAGGGATTCCTCTGGATGCTGGTGTGTGTATGTGTGTGTGTGTATGTGTATGAGTGCGCGCCTGTGTGTATGTGTTACCTGTGAGTTATGCCTGCTGTCCAGGCCGTCCTCAGAGTGCTGTCCCTCAGGGCTCCAGCTGCCTACTCTCTGGGACATCTCCTGAGCCCGCACTGTCACCCACGACTGGCTCCCTGGAACCCCCCCCTCCACCGGTCTACAACATACAGACAGTTAGACAGGCCCCTCGCATTCATACAAACACCACCTCCCTTCACCGGTCTACAACACACACACAGTCAGACCAGGGACATATATACACACGGATAGACAGACACGCACACACTCACGCATGCATGCATACACACAAACCAGGCACCCATATACATCACCTTCATCAGACCCATGCATTCAGCGCTTGTATGAGGCTAACTGAATGCACTCATCCACTCATCCCCACAAACCCATACACCAGCCTTTCTGAACACACACATGCACATACACACACAGGTCCTCTACACGTGAGGCATGTCCGCCCAGCGTGCCGGCCTGCTCCTCCTTCTCGTGGACGACACTCCACCTGTGGAGCCACTACCCATCCTCCCTCTGGCTGCAGAGAAAGAGGGAGAGAGAAAACAGAGAGAGAGAGGGAGAGGACAGAGAGAGAGACCCAGAGAGAGAGGCGGAGGAGGGGGGGACAGGGGTCTACTCACAGGCTGTTGACGAGGTCTGCTGGCTGGGTAGGAGGGAGGCTGAGAGGCCCGTCCTGGATGGGAGAGGGCGGCTCCACGCGCTGAAACGGTAATGTTGTTCGATTCTGTGTGAGATACAACATGGCCACCGGCTTTAAGGCAGACATACAGGAAATGGGGAAGGTGGGGAAGAAAGTGAGTTCAGAGCAGGTCACAGCATCCAGGGGGAAGGAGGGGTTTCAGTCAGCAGGGGCTGACTGAGCCAGAGCGCATTCTGGGAGGGGAGTTGGAGTCCTGCTGTAAATGTGAGAATGGAAGGCTCATGCCAATGAATCATCTACTTCCAGGTCACCATGAATTAAGGGCATTAACCAGACCCATAGGCACTGTATATGACCTACAGTATACAGTACCTAGCTATGGATGTGGAAGTGTTCAGTTGGATGCTACAAAGAGGTCTGGATTTGCATGGCATTAATTAAGGTCTTTGTCTACAGTATTTTTTATCTGATCAGACAATTTGCATGTTGCTCAAAGGAACAAATCTCAAATGGCACACTATTTCTGATTTTCACCTAGGCTCTGATTCAAAAGAAGTGCACTGTAACATGAAAAGGGTGCCATTTAATACACAACCCATTCGACAGGATCGACAGTGTTCACCTCGTGACCTGATTGGATTTCAACCTTGGCTTTTGGCCTTTGACCCTCATTTGACCTCGAACAGCCAAATGGTCACTATCGGCAACCAGGAAATGAGAGTCGGTGGGTGCAGTTTGAGCCAGTCCAACAACCCATTAGAGCGGTAGAACAGCAAGACCAGGGAGGGAATAAGGAAGAGTTGAACAAGGCAGAACATCAGTGCAAAACCAATGGACAGATCCATCAGGAAGAGAACATTCCAAGTCTCTGCTGAAAACAGACGTTGACACATAGGGAGAATTGGCAGGAAATAATATAAAAAGGATGATAGAGAAAGGAAGACAGGAGGAGAGGATGAGAAAAGGAAAGAATAGAGGTAGAAGTCCATGTGAGCGAAGATCGAGAGAGAGAAAGGGGACACAAGGAGGGATAGAGGAGGGATGAAAAAGAGAGAGGAAGACGAGGACTGAGAGAAGACCTGTTGGGAACGTATAGTACACTCTTAGAAAAAAGGGTTCCAAAGGGTTCTTTGGATGTCCCCATAGGAAAACCATTTTTGGTTCCAGGTATAATCCTTTTGGGTTCCAGGCAGAACCCTCTGTAGAAAGGGCTGTACCATGAACCAAAAAGGGTTCATCAAATGGTTCTCCTGTGGGGACAGTTGAAGAACCCTTTTAGGTTCTAGATAGCACCTATTTTTCTTAGTGTAGGTGAAATGCATGGTGGGAGTAAGTGCATTCAAATGACCACATACAGTGTCATTCAGTTATTACACATCCACTTAACACTGACCAACTGCTACTTTTATGTCTGTAAGATAACTGGGCAAAATGTTGTTGGGCCGCATTTGGCTTCCAGCTGTGGGCCGCTCCTGGGCCAGTATATGCTTGCTAGCTGGAATGGATTATCAATGGTAAGTAGCTGTGTTGGTTTAAGGACTTCACGAGCCATGGAGGGTCAACGTTTTAAGTGGATGGATCACAAACGTTCCAGGTCATACAAGGAAATAGCACACAAATGTTTTTACAAAAGTAATTTTGACAAAAATTCCAAACAATGTTTGTCCAATCGTCATTTCTAAACACTTGGAACAGTTCTTGTCCGAACCTGAAACGTTTGAAGCAAGGGTATCCCCATTCTCCGTCCCATATCATGACAAACCACATGCTTATCTATGGCAGCAAGCTCTACCTGGAATCATGCAGGGAAAAAACTCTCATCACTAGGATAGATGCTACCCTTTACTATGTCTCTCCTTATCTAACACTATGGTAATAATATTGTCTGAGATAAGATAATGCAATGGTGCAAGAGGGAGGGAAGTCCACTCCTCTGCTCCTGTCCTTCTGTAAGCATGTAGCAGCAGGGGAGGGGAGGGAAGGAGGGGAAGGGAGGTGAGGGTGCAAGGGGGAGGAGAGTGAGGGACATCTCAGTAAGAGGGGTGTGGAGAGAGGGGTACAGGGGAGAGGGGAGAGGGTGTGTAGGGGTAAAGGGTGGGAGAGCAGACATTGGCTGGAGAGCAGGATGGATGGAGCAGTGCTCATGGCAACGATTGGATGAGGATGTTGCAGTGACATCATCAATTATCGTCATCGGGCTGTGACATGTCATGTGAGCATGCTGAAGAGTCTGAAAAGCTTGATAACATTCATTGCCCAAGAAACTCCAGTGTGTGAGTGTTTGTGCTCCATACATGTTTGTGGTTATGGGTAAGTACACCTTGGGAGCATTAGAATAAAAGCACAAGGACCAGCTGGATGGTATGGTTGTGGTTGTGAATGAAGACCAAGCATATGACATGGTCACGGTCAAATGTCCAATGACTTGACTCTAAGTATTGGGTGACCAACTCTATAATCTTCTCAGCTTGTGTTATGAGTCTTCCATTGTAGTTTGACAGGTGATGGAGGGTGGTTTCTACAGTTGTTTAGGTGGTATCCTTCTTAAATAGCTCCATCATGTTCCTGAGGAGTTCCTGTGACTTCTACAATCAAACTACCCCCTGACTCATATTGTACTGTAGGTCCCATCCAACCAACTCTTCAAAAAGCATGTGTGTATACAAATCTATACACATGGCTAAGGCAGGTTTGAGGTCAGTTTTTAAAGCTCAGACAGAGCCAGACTCTCTCAACTAACTCCTAGTTCTTTCAATATTCTGCCTCTCTCACGCCCTTCACATCATGTGTCAGAGACAAAGAGTTGACTGGGAGGCTAAGATTATAATTTTTTACTTCGAATTTAGTGACTATCCCTTCAAGACCAACCTCTTCCTTGTGCTATCCTACAAGGAAGGAATGCTGGATGGCAGCAATGAAGTCATGGGGAATTGATATGGCTGAGAGTTGTGTATAGAGAGTGGTGGCAGGTGGCAATAGCAGAGCAGGGAAAGTGGCATGCTTAGAGTGCAGTGAGAGAGAAGGAGTAGGAGTGGAGGAGTATGACTCTGTCTGTAAAATAGGAAACCATGTGTATGTGTGTGCGTGAGAAATACAAATAAAACAAAATAAAACAATCTCCGTAATTTAAAACGTCATGTTTTACTTTACAGTTAAAACATTTCTGAAATGGCTTCACATGTGACTACATAAACACAAGATGCTTTGTATTGGTTGTATATGCATTCTCTCTGTCTACAGGGAATGGGGGCTACTGTGCAATGCTACAGTCCAGGGTATAGGGCAACAGTCCAAGGCCAGGGTGTGGCTACAGGTTTGGGAAGACTAGACTATATAGCATCATCATCATCATCATCATCATCATCATCATCATCACTAGCAGTGGATTCACAGCCAGGGAGAGGGAGGATAAAGGGGAACAGGCTTAGGTGAGGAACGTACATTAACGTCGTACAGTGTTCGCCATCCAGAGCTGTGACAAAGACACCCAGCCCAGACCAATTCAAAGATTCTCTATAGCAAGAAAAGTGCTTCTTCTTTAGAAATAATTGTGATTCAGAATTATATAATTGTGCTTGAAATATCATCTGATGGTTCTGTGTGTAGATGCTCTAGCAATAATCAAATCTAATGTAAGCCAAATGAGAACTTGTTCTCAACTGGCCTAACTGGTTAAATAAAGGTGAAAAAAAATATTAAAAAATAATAATAATAATAATAATAATAATAATAATAATACAACATGGACCAGCAGTGAAATACTTTGTCCACCAGAGGGCCTCACAGATTAAAGTTTCATACCTTAAACCCTGACTAACTGCAGAGATAGAGAGGCAGGAAGGGAGGATGGAAGGATGCAGAGAGACAAGGCTAGAGTGGGTAAACCCAGTGGCAGTGGTTCTCTAAGCTTTGACCTCTAACCTTTAGCCAGGTGAGGTCAATGATAACAAGTGACCTTACAATAACAACATAGTAAGTAAAGGCTATAGTAAGACTGGGGGTGGGTGTGGTTATGGGTTGTCACAGCTCTGCTTTGACCCCTGTACTAACAGCACAGCAGTATTTCTAGTCAGTTTGACTCTGCCCTCAGTCAGTCTGCATTGTCTGAAGGTTTGAGGATGGTTCCTAGGGACAGTAGTTGTACCTGCTCCGCCTCTAGCCTCGCCTGAGAGCGTTTGGCCTTGCTCTGCCTGTAGTACTCCATGATCATCATGGCAGCGTAGATCTTCCCCACCGTCAGGTCTGTTGCTGCTGAGAGAGGGACAAGTTACCCTGCACGATTAGACCACTACGTATGGGACCCTGAGCGAGAGGGATGGGAGTAGAGGGGGCGAGACATGCACACAGAGAGAGAGACACACACACTTATACACACACAGATGTACACACACTCTCACAGACGAATACACACACATATACACGAACACAGAGCTGATAGTCTTTTCACAAACAGACTCGGACTAAAAAATGATAATGTGTCACATTTTCGCTTTCTCTGTGTAACTGTAGTCTTTCTTTGTTTAGATCTTTTCTAACAATATCTGTATTTCTAGCACTACTGACTGGTGGTCTTCAATCAAAAGACAAGACTCAAGACCACTTCATTGTGTAGATGTGGGGACCTGGCAGAGGACTGGTCAGTACCAACAGAACTACTGGGGCTGTTTTGATGCTTTTTTGGCATTCTGATGCTGGACCAATGGTTCCCTGAATTTGAACCTTGCAGTTTGTTATCTCCAAACAGGTAAACACAACAGAGCTTCAGAATAGAAAAAAGTGTGAAAACAGTCTTTGGAAGAGAGTCATTTCCAGGTTTCAACAGCAGATCACATCTTCACAATAAAAGGGCATAAAGTCCAGTTCACAAGTATTGTGCTATTGGTCAGTTCTGTACACCATTCACCAGCATGCTAAATTAACACACATTTTATTTCAATTTGGTGTGAACGTTATTAGCAGGGCACAGAAGCCTGTGCATTCTGGTAAAGATTAGGTACACTTAGCAATCTGGTGAGTAGCTACACCGAACCTGGACCAGATGCCTTTACCTATACTGTAAATCATGCTTCCTTTCATATAATAGACATCTAATATCTACATAGCAACTAGTACTTTGGCACTTGTGCATTCCTTCTAGTCCTGTATGTATTCCTCAGACATGCACAGCAGCCGTGTTCTGACCTACAGTACTACTAACTAAACCCCTGGAGTGAAAAGACTACTATAGAGAGTTGGTCTATAGAGAGGCACCCCCTGATCTCAGGCACAGAGCTGGGCAGACAGCCTGCTGGTATTGGGTCTGGTGGAGGTGTGGCCCGGAAACACTAGCAGTTGGAATTGTTGCATTGGGGCTTTAGGAGGAGGCCTGCTGTGTACAGTTGTTGGGTTGGGTGGAGGTGTGATATGGGTGCTAGAAAAGAGGTCTGTATGGGTGTGTGAGGACTGGTTCTGGGGGTGGTGGATGGTGGATGGGGTACACGGCCTGCTGTAGGAAAATGGGGCTAGGGCTGGTGGAGGTGTATGGAGGCTGGAGATGGAGGTCTAAAATGAGGTGTGGCATCTTGGAGGATGGGACTGGTGGGAATCATGGGATCCTGTGTGTGTTGGTATGTGTCTATGTGTACATAATAAGCATAAGTGTGTGTGTGTGTGTGTGTGTGTGTGTGTGTGTGTGTGTGTGTGTGTGTGTGTGTGTGTGTGTGTGTGTGTGTGTGTGTGTGTGTGTGTGTGTGTGTGTGTATGTGTGTGTGTGTGTGTGTGTGTATGTGTGTGTGTGTGTAGGGAGCTGTGCCTGCTTTATCAGAGGGTGCAGCAGTGAAGGAGACTGGTTGAGAGAAGCTGTCCTCAGGTGGCGTGAAGAAGTAGACAGACACTGGCATCACGTTGCGGTTGCATCGCGGTCCAAACACACTGCAACTTACACTTATGTGGCGTGACTAAGAGGTCCAGGGTCTTCTGGGAGAGATTGGGCCAAATCGCCATCATCTCTTTCCTCAGCTCTGCATCCATCTGGTGTTTGTCCACACCTCCTACACACACGCAATGACACACACACACACACAAGCACACACACACACACATATGCACCAAGGTACACACACAGACATGTGTACCCGCATATACACACACACATATATAATAGCAACACACACACATAAACACACACATTCACATGCACATCGATACAAATAATAACAGAGCCATAGAGGCACAAACATGAAAACACACACAAGCACACAGACACAAGAGAATTGGTTTGTTAATAGAGGTGAGCTTTGACTCCCAGTTTAAATGTATAGTATGGATCACTCATGTAACTCAACTGAAGGGAACAGCAACACAGTGACATTGTGATTAAATAGTTAGTATGTCTGGCCATCTTCAGTTTGATTGGGCCAACCAAATAAAGTGGGACTCAATTACATTGAAACTATTACTGTTATTTCACATAAGAACTCTACAAAGTCTACAAAAAAGAGCTGTAGCCTATTTGAAACCCTATTACACTGAAACTATGGCTAGTAGTGCACATCACATTTGATTGTTTAATAAGAACTATACAAACTCTATAGAAAAAGAGCTGTACTTAGGATACAGTGGGAGAAGCAGAGGTACCGATGTAGGTCTCAGGGACAGCAGGGTACACACGATACACAACCACCTTACAGTAGCAGACTGCACTGCTCTGTTCTAGGGAAGACAAGAAACAGGGGGAAGAGATGGTGAAAAAGGCAAGCAGGAAAGAGGGGTTCCAAACCTTCCGTACCCTTGGCGATCTTGATGTCCAGCGCTGTGCGGATCAGGGCCATCAGGGTGGAGTTGAAGTGGACCGAGTTGTCGTCGGCGACCGGGAGGTCCATCCGAAGCAGCCTCTGTTGGAAAGAGCCAATCGGGGGAAGGTGGGTGAGTAAAAAGGGTGTGTGTCCCAGGAAGTGGTGGTGTAGTTGTGTTCTGAACCTCCAGGTGAGGAGACAGGGAAAGGGGGAAAAGAGGAAAGGGAGCTCTGTCGTTTTTTGTAGTAGGTTCTATGAGTCTGTCTGTCTATCTATACTTCTGTCTGTCAACGTCAACTATACAATGTGTCATTAGCATTGCTACACAGGTTATGGCAGCTGTTTGGCAGCTGAGTTGTTATTAGGTACGTTCAGTACCAAATAGATATAAACATAGATATTTCAGTCATTTGACCCTTTCATGGCGGTGGCAAATGATACCATGATTTCTTTACAGCCTGTGAGAGCCAAAGGGTTAAAAGGGTTAGTATTATACTATCACTACTGATTATTAGGAGTTGGTTGGTTCCTCTTTTGGGTGTTACGTTGTTCATGTCTGTACACAGATATGAATAACAGTCCTTGTTGTGTTACTTAGGAGGACCTCACAGGTTCAGTAGTGTCACAGCATTATTTATGCCTTCTCTGATAGCAGGTGTAGGATGAAGCTAGACTCTGATCAAATGTCAGCTTTGTGCATTTTCCCCTTGAATAGTTTAATTCAGGATTATGGGAGATTAATCTGATTCTAGATCAGTAAGATCAGACAGCTGGCTGCCACTAACAGAGCTCCCCCTAGTGGATTGGAGGTTCACAAAGTTTAACAGAGACCAGGCCATAAAGCGATAAACCAAAACTGAGGGACATGGTAGGGGAAAGTCATCATTTTCATTTATCCTTTATCCACCTTCTGGTCTTGTCAATATAAGAGAAATGGACACAAGCCAACACACACACACACACACACACACACATGCACAGACAACACACACAGACAACGTGACATAAGTGTGTGTGAGACAGGCTCGCGGTAACCGTTGTCACGGCGACATCCCAGACATGCAGCAAGACCATGCCAACCACTCCGTTCACCCACCCCAAAACCCTGTGATACATACCCCCATTCTTCCCTGCCCCCCCCCCATGCAACATGCAGTGCACATACATGTGTCTCACAGGACAAGCAGCTGCACAGCCGTACACAGAAAGCATCCTCTGTGTGGTTGAATAATATAATAATGTTTATCTGTTTGGGTTTAGTAGTGGTTATTGGCAGGAGGATATAACATCATTGAAACTATATGTGCTACATCTATAGTAGACATTAGATGAAGGGCTATTATTGTTATACAGAGACAATAGAGTTGTAAAGCTCTATTCAGATCATCTGATCTCTCAGTGAATAATGGGTGCAGGGCCTAACAGGGTTAATAGGTGAGAACAGAATTCAGCGGACCAAGGTAATCTAAGAAAATGAAGATGGCTGCCGGTTGTAGGTTAGGCTACCTTAGGCCTGAGGAGGGCTATACGATAAAGGTGTGGGAAAACATACATCTCGTTATCAGAAAATAATTGAAAAGAGAGGGGGGGGAGTTGTGAGTGGCGTTTTAGAGACCTTTTTCAAATTTAAAGAGGGGAGAAGTTGGAGAATGAGAAGAGGTTGGAGGATAAGAGAGAAAAAAGATGTCTGAGAGAGATGAACAGCGAGAGATAAGAAAAAGAGGTCGAAAGAAGAAGAAAATTATAGAATAAAAGAAAGATCTACCACCACACAAGCTGGCCAAGTCCGTAACACAGCAGTCCTGCCTGAAGACGTCTGTCTGTCTGTCTCTACAGAACAGAGAAGAATGGGGGAGAGAATTGAACACTATACATACAGGGGCCATTGTTCTGTGGTTCAGAGGTGAAGGTCAAGGGTGAGGGTTTTGACCTCTCTCATTGGGCAGGAAGGTAGTGATGGTGGGTGGGGGATAGGGGACAGGTGAAGGGCGAGAAGGGAGGTCTGTGGGTTTTTAAGGTCTTCACCTACAGATGACAGTTTACACAGGGAAAGGGGAGAGGATAGGTATTTTCAAGGACTGTTGCTATGGCTACCAACATACACAGTAGATGGTGGTGGTGGAGGATGGAAGGTTAAAGTCTGAGGGGTCGATTATATTACAGAGGACACTTCAGGAGGAAGGCTGTTAGGACTGAGGGATAAAACGGAGGGTGGAGAAGAAGGAATGAGAGAAAAGACAGGATACAGCAGAGAGATGAGGCAGCGAGAGGAGAGATGAGCTGAGCTGATAGGAATGAATGAACAGAGGACAGAAAGGCAGAGAGAGGGATGGAGAGAGGCAAGGAGAAATATAGGGAGAAATAGAAAGAGAGAGAGATGGTGAAGTGAAGGATAGAAAGAGAGAGAGAGACGTGGAGAGATGGACGATAGAGATCGAGGGAGAGGTAAAGATTAGCAGAGATGTAGGTAGGGAGAGCAGCTGGGAGGATAAGGAGGGTTTGGGGACAGTAATGTCTGGCGGTAGAGAGATCTCCTGTGCCTACAGGCTGTTCTGCTGGCTGCCCGAGGCTCACAGCGATCTGCCTACGAAGGGACACGTGTGTCATAGGGGTGTCATAATGTGCTGTAAGGGTATCATAAGGGTATAACAGGGGGTATCAGGTTATATTAGAGCAGTAGTCACTACCATCCCTGGTCTGAGAGAGAGGGTGTGCAGGGCAGGTTGTTGTCCTAGTCCAATGCTAGCACACCTGATTCTATTGATCAGCTAATCAGCAAGACCTTGATTAGTTGAATCAAAGAACTATTCCGTTCTCCAGGACCAGGGTTGGTGACAACCAAATTAGTGGGGTATATGAGTGTGTGTTAGAATATCTGAAGGATTTCACAAGTATATAAGGGTATTTAACAGGCATGAGTGTGTGTTGGTGTGTGACAGTGTGTGAGAGAGAAGGGGGTGGTAATGGTAGTGCCTGTGTGGTGGTGGGGGTGAAGGGGCAGGCATGCGGGTGGCGGGTGAGGACGAGGGGGGGAGACAGCATGTGAAGAGGAGGGGGACTGGAAACAGAGTAGAACTGCATTGACAGAAGAAACAGGGACGGGTGGAAAATATTCACTTGCAGATTTTGCTACAGGGCCGAAGAGAGTCTACAACAAAAAAGAGGCTAGCCGTTATTCTTTGGCAATGATAACAGTTGACTGGTTAGCAAACTACACAACCAACTAGATAGACAACAAACTATAATCCACCTAACGGGACCTTTCGGCTCTCTATCCTCTACCCAGAAAATACAATCCTGATTTGTATGTGTTGGACTACTGTACAACAAAAGAGAAAGACAGAGACCTGTTCCTCTATGTGTGTGTATGTGTGTATGTGTGTGTGTGTGTGTGTGTGTGTGTGTGTGTGTGTGTGTGTGTGTGTGTGCATGTGTGTGCATGTGTGTGTGTTTGCTGTAGCGCCATCCACAGGACGGAGAGACTCAGAGGACAGAAGTCTTATGGACCTTCCAAGCCCGGCTGCACACGCATACTGGTGTGTCTGTGTGTATGTGTGTGTTTTTGTCTGTGCATGTGTGTGTAGCTGTGTGCATACACTATTTTGCCAGCTTGGCCAAACCCTTATGTATATTTTTGTATAAACATATATGTTTAATATTTTGCCACTAGTATACATTAAAGAGGTCACTCTAATGTACACACCTGTATAGAGTCAATATCAAAGTTTGAGACCCCCTGAAGTTTACTTTAGCCAAAGCTCCTATAGTTACCACAGCTGATTTGGTGTATTCTATTCCTCTATGCACTCTATTCAGATGCTTGTAAAACTTTGACTGGCAAAAGCAACATGTGGGTGTATGTGTTTGATAATATGTGTGTGTAAAGGTGTGTGTGTGTGTGTGTGTGTGTGTTTCCGTCAGTATACACGATGCAAAAGAGCTGAGAAGTTCCCTCCGTTCACCCCTTCCTGTGGATAAACCTGTCTGACCTTTGACCCTTGACCCTACCCCCCCGCCCCGCACCCCTACACCCCCAAACCCCAAAACTCCTATCCTCCCATTCCCCACAACGACACCAGCACTCCCCTCCATCGAATAACGAAAGAGAAGAAGAAAATGGAGATAAAGCAAAATATCAAAAACAAAATGTATAGAGAAGAAGAAGACACCAACACTACGGATACACAGTAAAGCGGAGGAAGAGGCGCTAAGACCCCTGGTTCTAGGGGGTCCTGACCTTGTAGGCCACCCGTGCCGGGCACCTCTTCCCCAGTCCTAGCGGAGGACTCATGTGCATGAGCATGTCATACATATCCCTGCAACTGATCCTGCCACTGCATGTCAGCGCAGCACAGCCAAAGCCAGAACAGCCACAGCCAACCACAGCCAACCAGAGAGAGAGGAGAGAGAATGAGAACAGAGAGGAGGGGTGGGAGAAAGATAGAGATCAGTAGAGAGAGAAAGAGAAGAGGGAGAGAGAGAGAGAGAGAGAGAGGGGGGGGGGGGGGGAGCGGGGGGGAGAGGGGGGAGAAAGAGAGAGAGAAAGAGAGAGAGAGAGAGAGAGAGAGAGGGGAGAGGGGGACACAGATAGAAAGAGAGACCAAAGCAAAGAGTAGAGAGGAGAAAAAAAAGAAAAAAAAGAAAGTTATTTGGCTGGTTTGGTAAGTTACTGGTTTGGTAAGTTACTGGTTTGGTAAGTTACTGGTTTGGTAAGTTACTGGTTTGGTAAGTTACTGGTTTGGTAAGTTACTGGTTTGAGAGCTAGAGAGAGACGCAGTGAGGCTGTCTAGAACTGGTCTGAGTGGGCAGGGGTGAGGGGGGTTTAACTGGTCTGATCGGGGGGGGGGGTGTATATCTTGTAGAAGATAAGAGGGGGGTATAGGGAAGAGGAGCGGAGTTGAGTAGAGATGGAAACTTTTAGTAGTAGTAAAATACAGTTCTATGCAAGTGGGAGGGGATTGCATAGAGGAGCAGAGGACTTCAGAGTCAAGCACGGAGCTCCACTGCTGGGACTGGGTTATACCATGATGAGGGTGGGGTGTCAATGCAGTTTCTGTCCTCCCTCCCCAAGAACAATGCAATGCTACAGACCCCACAGTGTGTCTAGCACAGCGCCTAGCCGTGGCTCAACAGCAAGCAGAACAACAGAAAGAAAAATGACCAAAGGAGAACAATTCTTATTTTTGCTTTTTCATTTCAGTGGTGCACAACGTCATGCTTGTCTGGGTGTCTGCATTGTCCTACACATTCTCGTTTCAGATCAGAATGCAAGTAGAAATGGTCAAAGTAAAGAAGAAGAGAGAAAGTATAACAAAAATGAAATCCAATAAGATAAGATAAGCGACACTCATTCCATTCTTGGATGCTGTAGCAGGTGTGGTTGAGGATTTTTAGTGGAAGTCAAACCTTGCAGGCCACTCTATGGGGGCATTTCTTTCCTAAGCCAAGAGGCGGGTCGATAACTCGCAATAAACTGTACATATCCTTATAATGTATGCGACCGCTGCAAAAAGAATACGGGGGAGTTAGAACAAACGTAC